GAAGCTGCCCCCCATCCCATCACCTCTGCCCAGCCCAGATCCTCCTCAGCCCATTCCAGGTGTATCGGCATTCCCAGTTCAATTCACAGCGCGGCCAGGAAGCCTGGAGCTCTGCTACAGCCTTTCCTGTCTCTAGCCGGGAGCAAACAGCCACAAGACCCCAAGGCACCCATCCTACAGCCCTGAACGCCAGGAAAACACACATCCAGGGAATGATCCGGAGGCAGCCGCCCACCCCCGCGGCCGCGCAGCCGGCTGCGGCACTGTTACACAAGGCTCCCGGCGCTTGCATAAGCAGCAGCAGCGAGCACAGCCCCAAGGAAAGAGGAAAAACGAGCGGGAATCACGGCCCTGAGGCCGTGCCGTGGGATGGGATCCGTGGCCAGAGCCCGTATCCCGCAGGGGGATCCCGCGGGATCCACGGCAGGGATACTGTGCAGCCAGAGCCATCCCTAACAGAGGTGATGCAGCCCCCCTGAAGCATGACTGACTCCATCCCTTCACCATCTTTGCTGGAGAGACCCAAAATAGCAGGAATTCAATCCATCACAGCTGGAGAAAAGCTGCCAGAGTCCCCAGAGCCAGCGAGCAGCCTGCACACCAGCCCTACGGCATCCAGCACGCTCGCCTGCCTCCACTTCCAGACCTGGAATTGGAGTTATCCCCAGGGAAGACCGTTTTCTAAAGCCTTTTAACCAAGCAGGTGTTGGGGAAGCGCCTTACAGGGCTGGGGCAGGTTGGGAGCAGCATCACCCACTCTTGGGGAGCCTCTGCAGAGCAGGATTCCTGTGGGTGAGCACCAGCCTTCAGCTCCCAGTCCTCATCCCAGAGGAATAAGCACTGCCTTTAAACCAGCACCACATCAGCACCTAGAGGTGCATTTGGCCAAACCCCTGGTAATTTTGCACAGGGCAGCTCACCCTTTTTTTGCCCCAAAACACATTGTTCCTACTCATCGTGGTGCTTTGGCACCAACTCATCACAAGCTATCACAAGCACGTGGCAAGAGAGGGTTGCACAGACCTGCAACCCCAACCAGAGCACCTCTCCCAAGGGATTTACACCCTCTCCAGGATTCCTTTACAGGATTTCCATGGCCTGTGCCCTACTGCATTGGGGCTGATGCATGTTTTGACCCCAACACCTTCCCATCCCACAAACCCACACACTCCTGCTGCCTGCTCCCCTTATTTTCCTGCCTCATGCACAGAAAGGGTTAACAACAAAAAGCCAAGAAATCCCCTAATTTAATGACCAGGGAAGCTCACAGACATCTAGCTTAGTGTTCTAAACATCTGTAATATCACATCCACGTGTTGAAGAGATTTCATGACTTTGACAATTAGAGGGGCCCCAAAAGCCTGTGCATGGAGCAGAAAAGCACTTGCAGGACTCGTGTGCATCCCAGCCCAGCTCACACTTCCCATGGCAGAGGCGACTTTACAGGTGGCACAGAAGACAGAAAACCAGAAAAGGTCATTGCACGGCAGGGGTGATTCTCCTGATTTAAATGCAACCCCTAAAATCAATGTCGCAAAGCCATAGGCACACCCAGGCCCCAAAGCAAACACCAGTGACCCCTGGGCAGTGAATCCAGCTCCCTGCAGACAAGGGGACAAATTTCTATCGTCCTTCCTTACATGGGGAATGGCACTACAGGGACAAAAATAGTCCCAAAAAGCAGAGCACTGGGACAACCAGCTCACTGGCAGGGTTAGACACCAAAGCATGCACCTATCCCCTAAACCTTGAGGTCCCCTGAGATAACCTGAGATCCCCTAAACCTTGGACTTGGGCCTTATATTGCCTTCAGGATAAAAAAAAAAAAATCCCAAAAACTTAGTGCAGCTGTGCTGGGAGTGAGCACAGGGAGGGAAAACAACCCAAAAGAACCCAAACCTCAGGCCCTTGAAAAGCTCCCAGCTCCAAATGGGGGATGCGACCATCTGATTGCCCCTAAAAGACATTATGAAGGTGCTGCCCAGTGAACTGCCTGTGTGAGACCCCCCAAAGCCTCCCCAGAGTGTCTGTTTTGCTGGGATGCAGCAGAGCTGGGGGAGGTGGCGAGGGCGACGTGTGAAATCGCGGGGGGACCGGCAGCTATTTCTGCTCCGTGTCAGCACCCACTGACAGCACCCTGAGAACACAGCAGAGCTCCAGGCATCTTTTTTTCCATGTGAAATCCACCTGTGTACGTCTGTATTTCCACACTGTCCCCACAGGATTGAAAGATGTGGTGGAGCTTTTTGGTTTTTGGGGGCTGAGCTGAGGAGTTTGGGGTCAAAGTGAGCTTCTGCACCCATGGGATTGGCTTTTAGGCTCCCAAGACTCCTCATTCCTCCTTATCTGATGGGCAGAAGCCTCTAGAAATCCCTTCTCCTTCCTTCTGCTCAGGGTCACTCTTTTTTTTTTTCCCCCCTTAATTTCTGGGTCTTGGAGTGAGAGCCAGAAAAATGCAGCTGATTGTGTAACGTTTTGCTCAAAAAGCTTCTTAAACAGTCACATATTTCTATTGGATTTCCCTTGCCCTTCGCTGCTGATTACTGGAGTATTTATATATAAATAGAAGCTGTCTTCCCCATAATCTGCTTGTTTCTCCTAATTAACTCGGGGCTGTTCTCCTCAGGCTGCTCAGCCCTTGGGTTTTGGGGGTGCCAGCACCGAGCAGCACTCAGGGAGCCCAAATCTGCCAAATTTCAGCTGGAATTGCTTTTTACCTGGGTCTGAGGAAGCGAAACCCTCCTTTCCAAACTTTACCTGCTCAGTGTCTGTCCCATCCTCCCAACCCCCAGCTCAGGGAAGTGCTCGAATGCGGTTTCTTCATCTTCCTCCCTCCTCGCAAAAACTTTTCCTGTAATTTATGGAACGTCTCGATTTGATAATTATTTTAATCATTATTACTCATCTTTCCCCTTTCTTCCCCCCCCTTCCCCCCAAAAACTTCGTCCCGGGCCTGCCAATCACTTTAATAGCTGTTTACAACCTATCATCAAGTCTTGCATAACATCCACATGACTTCACTCAGATGCCTCCGACACCCGAAAGCTGCCCCTGAGCTCTATTTCAGGAGCGGTGGAGCCCACAGCACCAACCGGCTGCATCCCCCGCCGGCATGCCCAGGTCCTGGGATGGGGAAAAAAATCGAAGGGGAAAACGCATCCCCGGAGCAAAACTATTTTGCAGTTAGTACAAGACAACCCCACGCAGCTCGGTGGCCCAGGTTTTGGGGGTGAGGGTTGGTTTGGACCCCCCCCACGCCGTCATCGCAGTAGGCGTTGTTGTTCTGTTGCACCTGCTGGAGAGATCAGGAGCTGAAAGCACCTGGAGCAGCCCCTGGATAGCTGCGGATGCTCCGGTGGGTCTGTGGCTGCACCGTGGCCTCTGCCCCCTCCCCACTCTCCTCAGCAGCAGTGGGACACACACACACACACACAAACACATGGCAAACGCTGTTAAAAACCTCGTTTCCCAGCAAAGTTCTCCACCCCGAGGCATCGCCCGTCGGCGGTGGGTTGGCGGGGGACGGGGGCAGAGGCACAATCTGTGCAGGAACGGCTGCCAGCCCTTTTCGGCAGGCGATGGTTCGGTTGTGGGGCGGGGGGGGGGGGACACACACGACACACGACGGCTCTTTTTTAAGCTCTCCCGTCCTCCCCCTCTCCCGCAGGTTTCATAACCCTTCAAAGCACGAAAAGGCTCCTCCGGTTCCCGGCTAATGAGCCCCTGCGGAGGAGGAGCCGCGGCCGTGGCAGGAGGGATGTTTGGGCAGGAAAATCACCCCTCCGCGGCGTGGGGACACGGAGGGGTCTCTGTGGGGTCCCACCGTCCACCACAACCCCAGGGCTGCAGGTTTGCACCAGCGCTGCCCCAATCTGGCCGGTTATCTCCCCAAAACGCCCCTTGGCACGATGCTGCCCGGGGCTTGGAGGTCTCCCCCTCCCCGTGCAAATATTTATTTACACAGCGTAAAGAGGTTTATTTGTTAAGCTACAGCTGACAACTGTATCCAAACTAATTTCTCTTAATTAGGCACTTGCGGTCACCTTGGCAACAGCACCGGAGCGCCCTTCCTTAAGGCGATAACTTAATGGGGTGAAAATCCCCTTGGATGTAAAGGGAATGCTGAGGGGGATCTTCTGGAGACCCTGTGGCTGGAGACATCCATCTCCCCTCTTTGGGACACCCACTCCCTCTCCGGAGATGGAGTCCAGAGGGGTAAAATTGGCCCAGAATTGTCAGGGTTTTGTGATATACAGAGGTCACCAAAAGTAGGAGGGCACTGAAGCAGGTCCTTGATTGCCAAGAGGAAAATAAGGGGTGACTTAGCTCCTACATCCCGCTTTGGGTTGGAAAACGTGATGGCTGCTTCATTAATACCTGTAATTACACTGCTAATTAAGGAAGGTGTGGGTTTTTGGCATCCTCACAATGACCCAGGTGACAGGGTAAATTGCTGAAAGCCCTGATAAGAGAGAGCAGCAGGAATTCTCTGCTCCATCTCTGCCTCATAGAAGAATTAAACCAAACTTCCCCTGTTTTTTAAAACCCTGGATTTACAGAGTTTAAAACATGGGTTTACAGAGTGCTCTGCAACGTGGGGTTTGCAAAACCCAGCTCCTCAAAACCCAAAGGAAGCACCTTCCGCTTTGAAATCCGGATCTAAACTCAAGCACTAAATTAAGATGGGGTTTTTTTTTGGGGGGGGGTGTGTTATTTTGTTGCACAGCCACACAACTATCCAGCCAGCTGAGGTGTCCCCAGGGAAACCCACCAAGAACCAGCCCCAAAAGAAAAGACTCACACTGGGAAGTCAAGCAGGCTGTGATTTACTGGGACAACAACACTTCTGCAACAGAGAACACGACTGTGCTGAGGCACCTGGCCAGCAAACCTGCAGCACCATTGAGCATCACCAGCTGGGGACCTGGAGAGGTGACACCAGAGCAGAGACTGGAGGGATCCTCCTGAGGACCCTGAAGAGCTGACACTGAGAACAGAGACCAGAGGGATCCTCCTTGGGACCCCGGAGAGGTGACACCACAGCAGAGACCAGAGAGTTTGTTCACGGTCCTGGGAACCCCAGGAGAGGTGACACCAGAGCAGAGACTGGAGGGATCTGCCTGGAGACCCTGGAGAGCTGACACTGAGAGCAGAGACCAGAGGGAAGCTCCTGGGGACCCCAGAGAGGTGACGCCAAGCGCAGAGACCAGAGGGGTGCTCAGGGTCCCCACTGTCCCTCCCATCTGCTCCCCAGACATGCAGACACAAGACAGAAGCCTGGTGGGACATGGCAAGGCTGCTCCATGTCAAGGAAAGGAGTGAAAGGCAGCAGGCTTTGGATGGGCTCCACGGGCATCACAGCCATGCCAGAGACAGAGACGTGCGATTCCCTCCATAGGCACTTGATCCTTCAATCCCAGGTGCCCCTGCTCTGCCTGTGAAGCTTTGAAGGCACACATTGGCTGCAAGGGGTCTCACAAACTCCCTCTGGGGTTGCAGGGGGGCTGAGGGAGCCCAGCACCATGTGGATGGGATGGGGTTTGGTCCCACTCTCCAACTGGCTCAGCTTGTTGGTGCGTGGCTGGGCTTGATCCTCCTGGCTGTGACAGCAGGGCTGCTGTTCAGATGGTCATTCCCAGCCCAGATTCCCTTTGATCCATGTGATGAGCATGTTGTCAGATGTTAATCTTCCCTGGAAGCCATCTGAGATGGCAGGAGCCAGTCAGGAGCCTCAGGAGAGCAGGGACTCAGGGCTGGGGGGCTGCAGCAGGGGCTTGGCAGCAATTTGGGACTGGGAAGAGGCAGCCAAGCACGGACAGGGCAAGTGGAGTAGGCAGCAAGATCTGCTCTGGGAACCAGAAGGAACCAGGATCAGAGGAAACTGCTGTAGCTGGAAGTGCTGCTCCAGCTGAAAATAAATAGCAAGAGCAGCTGAAGGTTCCCTCCCAGGGCAAAACTCCGACTGCTGAGTGCAGGATGGAGCCTGGACTGCTCCATTCACAGGGTTTGCTCTAATAAACACACATAGCCCTGCAGCTGAGGAGCTCCTTGAAGGCTTGGAGGTGTTTCCTTAAGGTTTGATCCCTGCTCCTGCACCCTCAGTAATCGGCCCAAGCCTCCCTCCTCACCCTCTCTACACACTGCCTGGGTTGTAGCACAGCAGGTTGAACTCCAGGTTTTCATCCCAGTGCCGGAGGAGCACGAAGAGCTGCTGGGCTGCAGCTTTCACCGTGGCCAGGCTGGATCCCTCCGGGAAGTCCTGCCCGCTCAGCCACAGGCTGGCTTTGGCAGCCACCAGCTCCCACTCGACGAAGTAGGAAGCTGAGCTGTGCTCCAGCCAGGCCAGGGCCACCGCCGTGGCCCAGAGCATCCCCTCGGGCTCCGTCTGCCGCTGCAGCTCCACGTGGAGGAGCAGTGCCTGCACCTCGGAGCTGTCTGCCTCCCAGCCCCGGCCGCTGTCGGGTTCCCACTCGGCCGAGCCCAGCGCGCTCTGCGGGGAGGAGAAGCGGCGGATGGTGATGGCCGGGGGGGCCGGTTCCTTCTCGGCTGTCAGGGCTCTGGAGCTGCTCTCCACCGCGCTGCCCGAGGAGTGCCGGAGGCGCCCGCTGTCCTCCCTGTGGCTGCCGGGGCCTTCCAGCACCGCGCCCCGAGAGGTGTCTCTGCTGGTGGGACTCTTCCCGTGCCCATCAGGCACCAGGAGCTGCTGGCTGGAGCCGAAGTTTCTGTGCTCCACGGAGGGACTGGTCTTCTTGGTGTTGTAGGAGCTGGAGGGGCTGAGGGACAGGCGGTGGCAGGCAAAGGGCGACGTCCACTTCAGCTTCTCCATGGGGATGTTGACGGCACTGCAGAAGGCTGAGTTCAGGAGAAAGGCACCACAGGCCAGCTGCAGGGACACCTGCAAGGGATGGTGGGCACACAGGGAAGCTCTGAGGCACCAACCACTTGTGGGAAGTTCAGGGAAAAGGTGTGGATGAGTGGAGCAGCTCTCTGTCTTTGAGCAGACCACTGGACGTGGTTGTCAGGGACAGCAAGAGGAAAGATCCGGGGGCATCCTCCCTCTGCTCCCCTGCAATGACCACGCAACCCCAACAAGACCCAGGAAGGAGCTGCTCACCAGGGGAAGGTAGTTCATGCTCTCATTGTCACCCTCAGAGCTGGCTTTGCTCCCTCTGTTTGGAGATTTACTCATGAACCCTTTGGCAGCTCGAACCAGCAGCCTGGTTTTATTGAGGGTCAGCCTGAGGAGGATAAAAAGGTGACTGTAACCTCCATGCTCCTCCTGATTCCCACCCTCTCCTCCAAAAGCCCTCCCTGTCCCCAGACAGCTGGGTCCCAGCTCTGGCTGCTGTCCCTGGACGTCCTTTCTCTCTCCCCATCACTTGTGTTCACTTCAGACCTAGGGAGGTAAAAGGCACCTGTTAAGGTTGAGCTGGTCCATACCTGGCAGCAAAAAGCCTCTCGATGGACTTTTGGGCTTGTGCAGAGGAAGCAGACACGCTCTGGAGTGGCCCTGGGAAGAAACAGAGCTGGGGGTAAATGATGTGCTACAGGAGGGAGAAAGGGAGCACGGTGTCCTGGGACATGGGCAGGCTTGTCCATCTGCTGAGTCTTTGGCAAAATCCTTCCTCTCCCCTTGCCCCATTTTTCCTGTGTGGATAATAAAACTCCCACACCTCTTAAAAATGAGCCTGGGGGAGATTTATACCAACAGCTGCATCAGGTTCCATCCTTTGTACCCCAAAAAGAGTCAGGTCTTGTGTTCACAAGCCTAAATAGGTCGTAAAGTTTTACAAACCCCCCCAAACCTCAGCAAAATATTTGGTCAAGAGCCCAAATACCCAAGAGGACTTGATGCAGCTGCACCCTGGCAAGTGCCACCAGCTCTTTTCCTACCTTCAGGGAGACGGCAACGCTCCCAGGCAGAGGAGGGAGGGGTGCTGGAGGGGGACAGGCTGCTCTCCTCGGCATCTGGAATGGAGGAACCACATCAGGAACACCACCCAGCTGAAACCCCTGCCGTGCCCCCGCTGTGGTGGCTGCTCTCCCTCCCCACGGCATCATCGGGGCAATGAGCCTCATCAGGGCCACGTTAACTCAGCTGCAGCTCTGACAGTGCCAGGCAAGGTCCAGTCCAACTCGTCTTCATTAGTGGAGGATTTGGTGACAAAGCAAGTGTCTCACATCCCCTTGCCTCTAATTACACCCGTTTCATCCCCCGTGTTATCTCTGTTACGGCTGCCAATTAACTTCCAAGGATTGTCAGCAGCATGACCTGTGATTTCAGGGTTTCAGGGTAAAATTGAAGCTTCTTCCCCATTTGAGGAGATGAGCTCCAGCCAGACACGTGTCTGGTGAGCAATGCATCCGAAGAAGAAGGCAGAATTAAAAAGGACCAGAGATGTTCCAAACCACTGAGATCTGTAACACCAGGAAGGAGACAAAACCCCAGGGAATCTTACTTGTGCTGTAAAATCTATTGTCTCCATTCTGGCCACAGGCTGACTGGGGACGTCCAGGGGAAAGGCCACGATGCCTTCTGTTTCCTGAGCTCAGGCTCCTCTGGTTGCCTTGCTTGGATGCTGCCCCTTGGCACGAGAGAAGGGAATGGCCAGGGTTAGAGAGGGACTGGCACACACACTATGGCAACAAAACCCGCAGGATGATGCGTTTGGTCAGGAACTGTAGTGACAGGACAAGGGGGAATGGCTTCAAACCAACAGAGAGCAGGTTTAGATTAGGTATTAGGAAGGAATTCCTCCCTGTGAGGGTGGTGAGGCCCTGGCACAGGTTGCCCAGAGAAGCTGTGGCTGCCCCATCCCTGGAAGCGTCCAAGGCCAGGTTGGACAGGGCTTGGAGCAACCTGGGCTAGTGGGAGATGTCCCTGCCCATGGCAGGGGGTGGGACTGATGATCTTCAAGGTCCTTTCCAACCAGATCATTCTGTGGTTCTCTGGGCATCTTTGGGCATCCAGGACTAAGAGTGGACCTTTTCCCTGGCCATGGGAAGAGGTTCTTACCACCAAGGGCTCAGCCATGGCCTCGGGTATGTAGTCTGGTGCAGCACTGAGCTGTGGCTTCACAGGGTTTACCCTGAGCCAGGTTTCTCAGTGACACTCTCCCTCCCAGGACGTTTCACACCACGTTACCTATGTGGGTGTACTGGACCAGGGTGGGCAGGTAGGAGCCCGTGCTCAGATCCACTGGCACAAACGCCGTGTACTTGCTGATGACATTGCAGGCCTTGCTGGTGTGGACAGCGTTGAGCTGGTACCGCCGCCCGGACCCTGCCAGGGAGGGACACCAGGCTCAGAGTCCAGGCCACACCTTGAACCCAGCTCCCAGACCCAGCAGAGACTGCACCCCTGTACTGCTCTAAACTCTGCCTAAAATGCTTATTCTGCTCTTATTTTACATGCCCAGACACACTTCATGGAGGAGAAGTTTGACAAGACCCAGGGACGTGCAGCCCAGAGCACTGATGTGTGGCTGCTGCTGGATCCTCAGAGTTTGATGCCTCCTCCCAGCTCCTAAAAAAAACCCATGCTACCTGATGCATGAAGCAGAGGAATCATAGAATCATGGAATATACTGAGTTAGAAGGGACCCACAAGGATCACTGAGCCCCGCTCCTGAGGAGTGTGAAGGAGCACAAGCTCAGGCACGCTGATGTGCAGAAGCAGGAGAAAAACACAAGGCAGCTGGAGGGAGCTATCATTTGGGAGCTGTGTGAGACATTCCCTAATATTTCACCACTTCCAGCTCTTGCTTTAATTCCTGAGGCTGCTGGAAAGCCCCCCAGATGCCGGGCAGGGCGTGCCTGCAGCCAGCAGGGTGTGCCTGCAGCCAGCAGTGTGTTACCGTGCTCGATTTCACACTCCTTCTCGGCCAGCTGCTCGAAGTCCCGGATGACCGACTTGGCTGCCAGGTGGTGGAAGGTCTCACTCCACAGGTCTGTGTCCCCGTTCCCCTGGCTCTCCCGCTCCCGGAGGAGAGGGCGGATGTCAAAGGGAACTTCCCACTGCACGGGCTCGTTGTTCCTCAGCCCCTTCACCACCGCCTTGCAGAGGGTCCTGGGGGAGCCGCAGGCAGCGCCGATGTCCAGGTCCTGTGGCTCCCACTCGCAGGAGGTCTCCGTCTCCAACGTGAGGGATGGATGCTGGGCAGACTCTGCGGAGAGGGGAGAGGCAGATCATTAATCACATCCCCGGGAGCTGAATTCCCCACCGCCAGCAGGAAAGCATAATTAATCCTCCCTAATTTTCGCCCGGTGGCACTCAGAGCAACGCCAGCCCTCCTGCTCCGCCAGTTACCCGGGTCCCCAGGGCTCCGGCTGTCCGACGAGGACCGCAGGCTCACACTGGCATCGAGTGCTTCAAAGCCCCTTCCTGGAGTCTGCTGCAGCCCGTCCAGCACTGGCGGGGAGTTGGCGTCGTGGCAGAAGGACACACAGCCGTGGTGGAGCAGGGACGGGCGCCTGGCACCTGTGCCACGGATCCTGGTGGTAGAGCCATGAGGGCTGGCTGGGAAGGGCTGAGAGCAGAGCAGATGTTAGGGCTGGATCAGCTGCAGCTGATGGCAGGACCTGCTCTGTTCTCTCTGATCCCTGGCATGGACCTGCTCTGTCCTCCCTGGTCCCTGCATGGACCTGCTCTGTCCCTTCTGATCCCACCTGCTCCCTGCCCGACCCCAGCACGGGATGCAATCCTGCACACACACAAGTCCTTCCCTCTCTGCCCACCCCTGGCTGGAATTCGTGCCCAGAGCCCTCCATCAGACCTGCAGTGTGTCCGTCCCCAAGGGACCCTGGCCCCAGGGGCTCCTTCCCCAGACATGCAGAAGGTGAAATATGATTTTCATCCCTCCAGACATTTTAATGACTTCACTTGGGAACCAAAGGAAAGAAGAGAGACAGAAAGATCAAGGACCAGTTGCTTAGTAACGAAAGGAGAGAGGAGCAGGGGATGGGAGAAGGGAATTTTTATCTTTTTTTTTTTTTTTAATGAGTCTATTTCTCCACTTTCAGGAGACATGAATCCCCCACTCCAGCGCCTCTGGTGTCACATCCCACACAGATGTTCCCCTCTGCAAGCTCTGGGTTTTATTCTTGTCCCCAGGGCTGTGGGAAGGTCCCCTAAAACTGACAGACTCTCTATTTTCCTAGCACAACCCCAGTGATGGACAGAGATGGTAGAAAGTGGTGGACCTCCATGCTGGATGAAAGAATATTTTCTCTGGATGATACATGACCTCCATCACCACATAATGTTTGGTGCTCTATGAGTCCACCAGCAGAAATGGGAGGCTGACAGCTCCAGGAGCTACTTACCGAGCTAATATTGAGATATTTAAAAGCAAACTGCTCAAAGAAGCCCCTGCCAGACCCTTTCCATTCAAAACCTGCTCCTTCTCCTGCCTGAGCTCTCCTCCCAGCCAGAGGAAGCCAGCTGGGAATAGAGCTGGGGGTTTAGGCTGCCCATTGCTGGCACTGACCTTTCCTTCCCAGCACGGTGCGTGTGGAGACGAGCTGAGGGCTTGCCTTCACACCCCCGAAAATGTCAAGCCCTGGCAGCAGGACCGGGAGCTGGGAGAGCTGCTGGGAGCCCTGGCAGCAGGAGGGAGAGCAAAAGCAGGCTGCATTTAATGAAGAGCAGGATGGATGCTGTTAACCATTTGCTGCCCTCCAGAAGGGAGTCGTTTCCATCCCTGCCCTCGCACTGAGCATCCCATGAGCAGGAGGATGCTCTGTGGACCTTTCCAGAACAGGGAAGATTACTGGTACCCCTAAAACCTACCACTGCTCACGTTCACCACCCTCCCTGCTGCAGCTGGAAGGCAGAGGTCTCATCCCTCCCTGTGGAGCACTGGCCCTGCTTCCCCTTCACCCCCTGATCTCACCTCCCACCCCTCTCCCAACGATCTCTAACCCGCAGCATAAGGGAAAAGAAAGCCCCAAACATCCCTCACTCTGAGTTTCCATGGGAACTAAAGTGCTGCTGGTCTTTCCAGCCCTGCAGATGCTGATTGCAGAGCAGAGCATCCCAGTGATGCCAAGGATGGGAGAAAACCACCCTTCCCATAGATGAGTTGTAAAATCTTCCCAAATTTCACCTGCTGTGGGCAGGGGACATAACCCTGTTCAGCAGATGTATCATCACACAGGTCCACATCTCGCCCTAGTGCTGCACAAGGCTGTGGATCCAGCTGGGAATCTGTTTTGGCACTGAGTTCCTTTTCCCTGCAAGGCACAGAAGTGCCACAGCCTTGCAGTGAGTTTGAATCCCAAATTGCAGGGAGATAAGAATGAGCAGAGGAGCAGCGAGGTGAAGCACAGGCCACTCAGGGCGAGGGGAGAGGAATTTAGCAGGGCAAAGCTGGGCTCCCACGGGGAGGGACTGCTGTGGGATATCAGGATGGCACTCTGCTCTCTGCTTGGCTCGTTTCCCACGTGTTTGTGATATGCTGCAGAACTGTATCTATTATCTATATATTTTAGGACTAGTGTGAGCCACACCCTTTCCCTGGCTCTGATAGTTTCCTGCTGCTCCTTGCTGGCTTCCACCTGCAGGTAAACCCTCTCCAGGGATCACCTACCTGGAAATCCACCTGCCAGGGGTCGGGGCTGACCTGCTGCAGGTCCTGCAGGTGGGTTTTCCGAAGGGGGTTTTTCACCAGGGCTGTGCTGGGATCACTGGCCGTGGGCACCTTCCTGCCAGGCTTGTGGTCAGCGATTTGGGTGGTGCTGTATGCTCGTCTCCTGGAGGAACCCTTCACATCCATTCCTGAATGTGGGAGAGAGGATCAGCCCTGCTCCAGAGGTGCCATCCCCCCTTGGCTCATGGTGGGAGAGAGAGGGCCCACCCCAGGGTCCTCCCGGGACTGAGGGGGCCACCCCCAGCCCTGTAAAGTTTTAATGAAACCACAAAAGGAAATGGGAACACTCAAAATTCCTGTGGATGTTGAGAGAGCGGGCTGGGGAGGTTTCGTCTGAGCAGTTTTCAGACAGAAGAAGCCTGACTGCATTTCCCCAAGCCTCCCTGGAGAAGACAAAGGGTTTACTAATGAAATTTAATTAGTGCAGACATCCTCCTGTCAGAGCAAGAGTAAAATTTGCCTTGGAAAGACATGATTTCTCATTGCTTTTGACAAGTTTGAGGGGATGCACAGCACAGCTCCTCTCGAAATATAAGGGAATAACATCCCGTGAGTAACAAAGGTTTCCCCAGCTGCTTTATGCCAAATGCTGCTGACACAAACACCCACTCAAACCATGGTGGGGAGGGGGGACACCCTGGGGACAGGGCTTGGGATCCATTCCCCCCCTCTCCTGACTGGGAAGATGTTTTGCAGGTGCAGGGATGCTCTAGCAGAGCTACCCATTTGTTCACTGTACTCCTTCACACACTGCTTGGGAAGCTTGTAAATAATTATGTGGTCAAAGCCAAAGCTTTGAAAATCTCCAGGGTATCCAGCTCTCCAGGGCTCCCCTTGATTTCCTGACAGGTTTGGATAAAACATCCAAACCAAACAGACTCGCTCAAGCCCCAGGAGATCTGTCATCCCTCCTGCAAACTCCTCTGGCTCTTTGTAGCTGAAGACACTTATTTATCAGGGGAGCAAATCGGGGAAGCAGCGACAGGAGCTTGATTAGGGAGGCAGGGCCATCACACCCACGCGTGTACGGAGGGGACTCTGACCCGTGTCCGTGTCCGACTCTCCCCCGGGATCTCTGCCCACCCCCAGGTGGTCGGGGGAGCGCTCGGCAGGGCAGGAGCCCTCCGAGTCTCTGGAGTGATTCCAGCTGTCCATGTCTGCTCCCTCCTCCTGGGAGTGAAAGAAGACAGAGCTGCCCGACTCCTGGGAGCGCATCGTGCTGTAACACCGCCGCTTGTCCTGTGGGGAAGCAGAGGGAGGGGACAGGTCCCACCAGCGCATCCATCAGCCAGATCCCAGCCCCTGGGCACCAGCACCCCAAAGTCTCATCCACCACCTCTCTTAAGGACAGAGTCAGGAAGAAGGAAACACCTCCTGGCCATGTGCAGAGCTGAGGCACTCGTGTACACAGACCCCAACACCCCTCACCTCCAGGGCAGCCCCACACTCGTGGGACAGCCCCATGGACTCACGGATCTGGGGTTGGAGAGGTACAGGGAGGTATCACAGATGACGCCATAGCCAACCAAGTGGTCACCAGGGAAGAGGCAGCTGGTGCTGACAGGGGAAACCAAGGCCTTGGTGCTCTCGGGGAAGACCCACTCCACGGACACGTCGCTCAGGACCGGCGCCATCGCCTTCTTCAGGGACCTGATCAGCTGAGGCAGGGAGCAGAGGGGAGAGGGGAAACAAGCAGCTGCATGCTGTGTGTGCCATGGTGCACGTGCTGTGTGCTGCAGGGAAGGGGAAGATTTCTTCAAACAAACCCATCAGCTGATTCCTACCCTCTCCTGGCAGCCTGCTCCCTCTTGCTCTACTCCATACCCCTCCCAGCACCCCCAGCCCCTCGGCATGGTCACACTTGGCAGTGCTGGGTTAATGGTTGGACTCAACTTACAGGTCTTTTCCTGCCTAAATGACTTTGTGATTCCATGATTCTTTACCAGGGGTAGGTATTGATGGAACACGGGACTCATCCTGCAAGTGCTGCCGGCTCAGAGCAAGGTGGGAGCCTGTGGCCAGAAGCATCTTGCAGCATCCCCTGCTCCCACCCAGCACCCAGGAAAAGCTGTTGATCCTCACTTGTCCAAGCCCCATCCCTGTCCCGAGCCATGACATTCACACACAGAGTGACAGCACCAATATTTTTGGAACAGCTCCTTGCTGGCACAAGCCACTGCTGGAGATCAGCAACGCTCTACCAATCATACATGTGGAGAAGACCAACATCCGTGAATAGCTCATGGACAAACCTGTCAGGGAGCCATCCACATGAGCTTCTCTGCACACCAGGGGAAGTGAACACCGGATTTTGAGGCAGAACAGCTCGAATATTCCCTGTTGTTCCTTGTTTTTTTCTCACAGGCTTGGGAAGACACACCAGGCTGTGCTTTATAAGGCCATTAATTGATGCCTCAGACTGCTGAAGGCACAGAGCTGCACAGCCTGCAAAGCTCTTATTAATAGCTCGATAAAAACCCTCTCTCTTCACTGTCTTTGCTTTTAATTTACATCAGAAATGTTGATGCCATTCTGTCTTACAGAGCTTTTTGCGTGCTCCAGGTTCCTGCAGACGTGGGGGTTGCTGAACTCCTCATTTTCAAATCACGAAGGCAGGAGCTGGCTTTTTAGAGATATTTAGGAGCTAAAGACCCAATTCCCTCCGGGTCTAGTCATGCAGCGGGCGACAAGCTGGGCACTGTGCTTTCGGCAGGGGACAGAGCTGAATCCGAGGCACACGGGTTTGCTCTTCACGGGGAGAGTGGAAACGAGCAGGCTTTAAAGCCGGCTGAATGTGCAAAGCCATCGCAGCGCATTCCTCTCCCTCAAACCCCGGGTCCTTCTCGCCCGAGCAAAGCCAGGGCTGGGCCTGACTTCAAAACTAATTGGCTGCTCCGATGCCGGTCCCTCTGCCCTCGCCGGTGTGTGAGGCAGCAGCTGCCTTTGGAGCCAGAGCTGCTGTATCGCGGCTATCGCGTTCCCCCAGCCCCACGCAGAGGGTAAACACACCCTCCCACTCCCTCCGACAGCCGGAGATGGAGATGCTCCTTCATCCCCTCCCGCCTCGCCCACCTGCTGCCGGGGGTGGGGAGGTGGAAAGGCAGCACCAGGGATGGGGAATAAACCCGCTCTGAGCCGTGGCCTCCCCCCTCGCTGAACCAGAGCATCGTTAGAGCCTCCAGGGCCGGTCCCTGGGGAGCGAGGGGCTGTACCTTGGGCTGCAGCCTCTCTCCCTCCGCCAGGAACTCGGCACTGCCCCTGGACACGGCAGCCAGACCCCGGACCAGCCTCCTGCAGGCGTTTGGCCCGATGCCGAAGCTGTAGCACCTGCAAAGGGAGAGGGAGAATCAAAACCCAGGGGACAAGTCATCTCCCCCAGCCCCACGCAGCTCATCCACTCCCTGCAGGCAGAGGATCCCCCCGGCTTTATCCCACTGCTATGGCCAGAGGAAATCAAACCAGCTCCTCGTAGAGGTGGCTGGCAGGAGGGTGAGAAACCTTCCAGTGCCTAAAGGAACTCCAAAAGAGCTACAGAGGGACTTTGGATGAGGGCCTGGAGTGACCAGAAAAGGGGGAATGGCTTCAAACTGACAGAGGGCAGGGTTAGATGGGATATTGGGAAGGAATTCTTCCCTGTGAGGGTGGTGAAGCTGTGACTGCCCTGTCCCTGGAAGTGTCCAAGGCCAGGTTGGACAGGGCTTGGAGCAACCTGGTCTGGTGGAAGGTGTCCCTGCCCATGGCAGGGAGTGGAAGGAGATGAGGTTTAAGGTCCTTTCCCACCAAAACCATTCTGGGATTCTATGAACCACCAGCCCCCTCCTCTCAGCAGAGCTCAAACCCCTTCCCCAAAGACCAGCCTTCAGCAGTGACACTCAGGGGCTTCCCAGCAGGACCCCGAGCCCTGCCCTCCTCTGCAAACACAAACAAGCTGCTTTGCTGCCAGTTCACCTCTTTTCCCTGCTGCCTGTGGTCAATAGCACTAAAGATCCAGTAATTATCTCTGCTCACGATTACAATAAACGTTTTCTCAAGGAAGGAGGAGCTGCTCCCCTGACTCCCAGCTCTGTGAATCAGGATTTGGTTTGGGCTGAAGGCTGGAAGTTGAGCTGCAGTCCAGGCAGGAATGGCAGTGCCTGGTGGGGATGAATGTGGCAGGAAGCCAGAAGGATGGGGCTGGGTGGGATATGGCATTTGGTCAGGGCAGTGGATCACTGAGAGAGAAACCACCTTCAGCAGCAAATTGCATCCACACGAGGGGCTTTTCTCTTAGGGGTTTTTAATCCTCAGCTGGCTGCAAATCCTAGGCCAGCCTCATAGCCCTCTCAGATAAGGCTCTGATCTTCTTTTGAGATGGGCCATGCACATGATCCTGCCTTCCAGGGTCACCTGAGACCACACTCTAACGCTGATCACATTTATCCCACGCCTCTGTAAGAGCAAGGGATGGGATGCCCTGTACAGCTGGGAAGCAATTAGACCTCCATGTAGCTAAAAACCCACAGAGCAGCTTCCCTGCTAAGCTGTGAAATCTGAGGGATGGAAGAGGAATGAGGATTTCTTACATTTTTCTTACGTTTTGTGTCCCTTAAAGAAGCAGAGGAGAAACCAGAACAGCCTGTGATCAGGGCTGGGAAGCCAGGCTGGGAGCTCGAGGCACAAATTAGCTGCTTTTTACATTGCTCCCTTTCAGCATATTCAATTCTGCACAGCCCCATCCTGGAAGCAGCTGGGGCCAGCCCCAGATGTGCTTTTAAAAAAAAAATTAAAAACAAAAAAAGGCAAGGAAGATTGTTGGCATGTCAATCTCTCCTAGCAGGAAGCATCAGACAAGAGCTGTGAAGCTGTCAGCTCAATTATCCTGCTTTTGATTGTTTAAAAAGCATCTGAACTTCTGGGATCTGTTCCAAACCCTTTGAGGTTCTCCCATGGCTCACAGCAGCAATCTCTCCTGCCTGTGCCTCTGAAGTGGGGACGTGTGTGAGATGGGGCTGTGTCCAAGGAGAAGCACGTCCCTCCCTGTGCCGGGATTTTGGCCCCGCAGGGGTGATCCCTCTGTACCTGGTGGAGCAGGAGTGGTTCCTCAGCAGCTCCAGAACCTTCCCCGTGTTGCTGATGGCCCCCTCTGTCAGCAGGAAGAGCAGTCGGGGGTGGCCCCTGTGGATGGGCTGACGGATGACCCACTTCAGAGGGGACAAGATGTTGGTGCTGCCCATATCAGCACGGATTCTCCTGATGCTCTTGCAGGCCAGGGCCAGGCTCTCCTGCCCAAAGGAGCAGTGGAATTGTCAGCAGCAGCTCCCTCCGAGCACCAAGGAGCACTTCTGCTGTGGAGACAGGCTGAGGGAGCTGGACTGGGGAAGACAAGGCTCTGGGGAGACTTCAGAGCCCCTTCCAGTACCTAAAGAGGCTCCAAGAGAGCTGAAGAGGGACCTTTTACAAGGGCATGTAGTGACAGAACAAGGGGGAATGGCCTTAAGATGAAGAAGGGTAGGTTTGGATTAGATATTAGGAAGAAATTCTTCCCTTGAGGGTGGTGAGGCCCTGGCACAGGTTGCCCAGAGGAGCTGTGGCTGCCCCAGCCCTGGAAGTGTTCAAGGCCAGGTTGGACAGGGCTTGGAGCAACCTGGGCTAGTGGAAGGTGTCCCTGCCCATGGCAGGGGGTGGAATGGGATGAGCTTTAAGGTCCCATCCAACCTACACCAGTCTGTGAGTCTGTGATTCTGTGAAATGTGGGTTCACCCACCTCACAATAGGCCTGACTGGCAGGAAAGAGGGTCTTAAAGGTGGATCCAAACCCGATGATGTTGAAGAGACACGTTGGCATCAGGCTCTTGAGAATGACCAACAGGGCATCCTGGGGGTGGAAAACAAACAATCATCACCCCAGGACTCTCTCTGGCTGCCACAGCTTCACCAGTAAAAGCTCTGCCTGGAGCCATCCCACCTTATTCCCACCTGCATTTGCCAGAAAACCAACTGTTTCTTTCCCATGCCCTGCAACGGGGACGCTGCTCTTTCCGAAGGCCCCGAATGGTATTTGGGACCCAAAGCGGTGAGGAAAATGGGGAGTCTTTGGAGGGAAAAAAAAAAAAAAAGACCAACAAAGAGCTGAACAAATTTTTGTGTTTGTTTTTAAGGGATTCAATTTGTGCTGGCAACACGGTGCTGCAGCACCGAGCTGGTGGGTGAGAAGCAGAGTGTGAAATTGAGAAGTGCGACACGCAACGCATCTCAATGCCCCAACTTGCAGAAAATAAACAAACAGCTCCAAGTTACACAAAAGGAAAAGCCTCCCCCATCCCCAATTCTCTTGTATTCATAGCTGGCTTCAATTAAAATAGCTGGGAGACAACAGTTTAAAGCTATTTTCTTTACCAGAGGTGGTTATCTAATGTGCCTATTCCTGGGCTTTACATAAGGGAAGAGCAAATTGAATTGTCACAGACATTTGTGATGGTCATGGACAACTCCAGGACAGAGCTTTTGAGAGCAGCAACTGGGCAAGAGCTGCCCAAGATGCTCTTGAGCTTGGAGGAGCAATTATATGTCAGGAGAGGAAGCCAATTTGAAGCAAAATGTTTATTTAAAGCAAAATGTAAAGCAAAGCGTTCAAGAGCAGCTTGGTTCTTTTTAAATGCTGATCAAGGCAGACTCCTGCCAGTCTGCCGAGGGCAGCAGAAACCCTAGAGCCAGTCCCAGGAGGAGCTGCCAAGGTCAAATGAGCAGGAACAGCCACCCTGTGTTGGCCTGTGCAGTGGCAAAGACCGAGTGACCACAGAGGGTACGCAGAGAACCCGCCTGAGACCACCAGGGACGTGGTGCCAGGTCAGCCCAGCTCCCAGCTCCTGCAAGACTCAGCACGGCAGAGCTGGAGCACTGAAAATCCGGGGAATACAAGAACAGGGCTGCCCTTTAACAGGCTCTGGAGTGCTTTAATCCAAGCTGTTATCTCAAACCTACGAGGGTGTATTTATACCACTGCTCCCAGATGGCTCCTGGGATGCTGGCTCTTCCAGATCTCAGCGCTGACATCCCATCTTGGAACTAATTACAAGGGAAAAAAATACAAATTTCCAAATGTTTCTGTTGAAGCACTTCCCAAAGCGGGCAACCGATGCCTGGGTGCTGTTTCAGCAACCAGGAAGATTTATTGCTTCTTATGGTAAATATTGATCTTGATCCTGTTGCACTCAGTATCTATACAGCAACTCAATAAGGAGGGATGTTTGCTTCCAGAAAAGTCAATTCCCAGTTATTAGTGTAGTTTTGCCAGCAAGCTCGATGTACCATCACAGCCTGGCTCTTCTCCCTGGCTGCATCAGGGTGGGGAAGGGACTGGCTGCAGGGAATTTAAGCCTCTGAACTTTCCACCCCAGCTGCTTTGGCCAGATGCCCTCCTGCTCCACTTGAGCCATCCCATCTCATCCCTTAGTGCATCCCTGTGGCTGCATAGCTCCAAGCCCTGTCACCTCACTCATCCAGCCATCTGAGGACGATGCAGAAGTTTCCATCAAGCAAAACCCACCCAAACCCACTAAGAAGAGCCCTTCCTGCAAGGGACTTTTGTTTGCAAGTGACAAACAAGGATGGGAGACTCAAAAGAAGGACAGTGGGTTTCTCCCTTGAGGCATCTCCTCTGAAATTTCCACTATCTCCAACGAAATATATTTTCTCTTTCCTGTTTTTACAGCACCTCTGCAATGGGAGTCCCAGCTCAGGACCTTCCAGAGAAGGGGTCTGTCCCTGCAAGGGTCTCCATCCCCATGGGACAAACCAGCTTTCATGGAGTCTGCAGAGACTGTGGTGCCCTAACCCAGCCATGCTGTGAGCTGGAAAGCAAAAATCTGGCATGGGGCAGAGATTCCCAGACTCCTAAAGGTCCTGGGGGAAGGGGGTGCAACTCAGAGATATCCTGATCCCTTTGGGAACAGCCTCCCTATCCCAGGGGACCTGCCACAGCCATCCTCAGGATCCCCAGCATCCCAATCCTTGTTGCCGGAGGTGTCTGTCCTCCAGCAGTTCCCATGGAAACCAGAGACAGATGGGAAAGGAGATGTGTTTAAAGATGGACAAGCTCAAGAAGTGGGTCTGTGTGAAGCTCATGAGGTTCAACAGACCAAGTGCACGGTCCTGCACTGGGGTTGGTGCGGGATAAAGGGTCACATCTGACAGGGGAACCTCAGACCCACAAAACATCTTGACAAAGCCTTTCTCCAGGCCCCTTTTTTATCCAGAGGTCTCAGCACATCTCCCATAACCCTCCACCAGGCTGCTGCTGTTGATTTGTGTTTGGAAAAGGGATGTTTCATGGGGGGCAAGAGGTGCCCCTCAGCAAAACATCTCCTAACGCATGGTCAGCACATCGCTCCCCTTGGAGCACCCTGGAGGGTTGTCCCCTAGACAGAAATCACCCAAAGCCCTCCTGGAGACAGGGGGAACTGGAGAAGGGATGCACAAAACATGCTAGCAAAGAGAGGGAAAGAAAACAACTTTGCATTTGATGTGCTGATAGGAAGATGAGGAAGAGAACAGGAGAATGAGCTTCACTGCAGGTACCTAACAAGCCCCATGGTTGAGACGACTAAAGCTACAGTGTATAATTACCCCCCATCCCCTCATAATGAACACTCCTCAGCACTCAGCACCCCCACTGCTCTCTAAAATTCATCCTCTGTTGACATGCAGGTGCTTCCCCTCCCGCAGGTACCTTGACACGGTTGATGTTCCCGCTGCTCATGCTCCTGCTCCGGTCTATGAGGAAGATAAACTCGCCTTGGGCATCCTGAAGGCCTGGCTGAACAGTCCTCAAGTCAGGGCAGAAGTTGAGCATGATGATGGGGTGGTGGAGGATGTCCTTGTTCAGCCGCTTCCTGATGATTTCTGTCTGCAAGAAAGAAGGACAAAGATCAAGAGGTTGATTTTTCTGCCCCATTTCACTTGCACTGGAATCAGAGTAGGGCTGTGTGCCTGAAAATGTAAGTGTGTGGCCTTCTGCAGGCCAGAATCTGCTTGTTCTGGCCTCAGAGGTGACAACACCAAGGCTCAGGGTGCACTGAAGTTGTTCTGTTCATACCTCCAGGGGAGCTGCTCCGTGGGTAAATGGAATTCCTGCCTCCTCAGTCACACATTGCTCAGGGGACAACAGCTGGCAGAAAGCCTAAATCAGGGCCCATGGCACATACAAAAGCATTCACCATCCCTGGAAATGTTCAAAGCCAGGTTGGACAGGGCTTGGAGCAATGTGGTCTGGTGGAAGTTGTCTTTGCCTATGGGGGGGGGGGTGTGTGGAATGGGATTGTCTTTAAGGTCCCTTTCCACCCAAACCATTCTGGAATTCTACAGAGCAGCTGCACGCTCGGATGAGAACCTGGGGGAGAAATCAAAAAGACCTGGCCCTACGCAGCACCTTGCAAAACCAACTCTGCAAACATTTCATTAGATCCTTCCCGAAAACCTGGTTCATTAGCACAGCCTTAAACCTGGTTCATTAGCACAGCCTTGCATCCCACCGAGGCACACCGGAGTTTTTTCTCCACGGTCACTCACTAATGAAGCAAGAGATACAGCCGGTGTGCTGTGTTCACTGCTTCAGTTCATTCCTGCTGCCTCTGGTTTGCTGCTTTTTCTGCCCAGCTCTTTTATCACTTTTCTTTGTAGGGATTGAAAGGCTTTGGAGAGTCAAACCGGTCATTGTGGCCACCGTTCAATGGACCCCGCATGATCTGTCTCTGCACTGCACACAGCTCTAATGGCTCTGCATTTTCCCTCCTTCTATTTCAAGTACTCATTACAAATGGGATAAAATTAAACTGGTGAAAACACCTTGTGATGGGTTTATAATGTGCTATTACGTGTGTATCAAGCTGTCGTGGGTTCACGGCCTCAGCTGCTCTCGAGGGAGCTCGGCCACCCCACATCACCCCTGGGTCTGAGGGTGGAAACACGCTCCACAACAGCAGCTCAGTCCTCAGCTTTTTTTATTTGCCTGTTTTCTCCTCTTTCTGACTGCTCTTCTCGTTGGTTTCACCGGCAGTAAATCAGACCCCAGATAACCAGGCTTGTTTTTCCCTGGCCATGAGTCACATTCCTCGATCTACGACCCAACGACCCGCCTTTATTTTATGTAACTCGCTAACTCAAGAGTCCCTGAGGATCAACACTTGCAAGAGCTCTGCTTTCAGCTCTGCTGCCCCAGTGCTGCTGCTCTGACCCTGTGAAAAGACGGGTCTCACTCACAGGAACAGGCACCTCGCTGCCACATCAGCTCTCGCTCATCCTCTCGTACTTTGGAGTATAAATTAATCAGACATGGGGAAATCAAAGAGCTTTTTCTATCCTCATTTTCCTTCAGCCATATGCCATCATTCCTGGTTTATCACATTTCAGACCAGGGGGATCCTTGCTGCCTTTGTCCAAGGACTGAATTGTGGTCCATCCCTCCAATGCTCTTGGAGATCCATGACATAAAATCCTTGTGTGCTTGGGCTAAGCCCATGTTTTGGGATTTCTCACTGACTTTGGAGGGAATTTAACAGGCAAGCCTTCAGAAAACAGCTTCAGAGCTGCTACTACAAGTCAACCAGAAAGAAAACATCTCCTCCTCACCTCTCTTTCGTTCCCCTCCACCCATTATCCAATTACAGTAAACTAATCAGATCATATTGAGGAGAGTTGACTCCAGTGTGCATCCATCCCCACCACCCTGCAGCTGACAGCATCCAAGCCTTTTGCATAACAAACCAGAGGAGGAAAATTAATTATCATCTACTGCTGAAATTTCTGGGCTAATTTAATTTAAGCTGAGAGGTGCCCAGTGTCCTGCTCTGAGCAGCAATTCCAGTCCATCATCCACTCCAGACATTTTGGGCATTTCCTCTGCTCCCTACAGTTGTTTCCCAGCCCCCTTGAGGAACAGATGGGTTTCCTGCAGGGAAATGATCCCCACTTAGATAATTTGACGTGCTAAAGACAGAGGAATAATTAGGGAGCATCCAAGGCGTAGCGTGGGAGTTCCACCTCGTTCCACACTCAACACAATTAGAGGAGCACACGCAGTCCCAGCCCTGGGAGAGGGAGTGGAGGGCAAAGGGAAGGAGAGGAAGGTTGACAGGTTTCTGGTGACAGAAGAAGTCACAGGAGCACAGGGAGCCATCCCTGCAGCAGGTCCAGGATTTCTGCCAAGCAGGGCCCAGGATCAGGCATATGGAGAAGGAGTTCAGGGAGAAATGAGCAGCTCTGGGTGCACAGAGAGCTCTGGTGTGTGCAAAACAGGCGCTGACACCTTCAGCCCCGGGCTGTGGTCACACAAGCACAACCTGTGCCTTAGGGGAAGACGCCCACCCTGGAAACTCAGAGGGCCCTGAGCTGCTCCCAGACACGCTGAGGTTCTGGGCTGTCACTCATTCCTTCAGAACTGCTGGAAGACAAGGCACAAATCCCAGCGCAGATATTTTTCTCTTTGCTGCTCAGCAGAACAAAGAGAAGTTTCTCCTACCTTGTCTCCAGTTCAGCTCATTATTCCAAGCAAAATCACTTCTTTCTCTCTGACAGATATCCAGAAACAGTAAACATTTACTGAGCAATTAAAAGAATATTTTATTCTGTGTCATTGCAATAATTATAATACCCTTAATGCTATCACAATGCACCTCTCTAATTATGCTATGCTAGACTAGCACTAATTATACACACAATAACCATCTCAGAGCTCCTTCCACACTCAGCTTACCAGCAGCACTGCTGAATTTTCCCCTCTTCCTTCACACAAGCCCCTCTCCGAAGGAGGATCTTGCAGAGCTTACAGGGAAGTGTAATAAGTGGTGCTGGCAACAAGGAATCATTTGCTAGCTCAGCTCCAAGTCCAGGGAAAGCCTCAGCTAACACCTGCAGCTTTTGTTTCTCACCTTTTTCTCGGCACTGGGGTCTTTCTTAGTGCCTTTAATGAAATCATTCTTCCCCTTCAGGTGTCGTTCGTACTCTGCAGGTGTCATGTCACCTTCTTCCATTAAGATGTGAGGCATGTGGGGCTCTGGAAATGCAAAGAATTGAGTGAGGAATAGCCTTGGCCAAACTTTGCATTTGGCAGAGATGCAGCCTGGAAAAACAGCAATATCCTTGAGCTTGGGGAGCACTTTGAGAGAGTCTGGAATTACCTCCTAAGGAAGCCTAACCCTGACAATATTCACAAAACCAGGGCTAATCCAGCTGTGCCCAGAGCTGCAGATGAGGGTCCCAGGATCAGCAGAGAGGGAGCAGAGCCCACCTACCGCTGGGATGGATGAGGATCTCCACGGGCCTGTCGAAGGTGTGTTTGTTGGCCAGGGTGATGACGATGCTCTTGGCGGAGTGAGCCGAGGGGTTGGCGTCTGCTCGGATCTCGTGGGTGGGGCTCTCGACGCCTGCCCAGGAAAACCAAGGTGCCGTTGGGGTTTGAGGGTTAGGAAGACCAGGGAGAAGAGATGACAGGGCGGCAGAGGACAGGAACCCGTGTTGGCATCAGCCCTGTGCTGGTAAATCCACCTCAGCAGAGCTAACTTGTCAAAATAGATCCCACACCGAGGGGCAGTGAAGGAGGAAGAGTGTGGATGTTGCCTTGAGGAGGTGATAGCCCATCCCAGTGCAGCAGGATGGCACTGGTGTTCCTACCTGCCAGCAGGCACGGCCCCCGAATCTCCAGGTGGAAGCTGAACTCGTACTCGAAGGGGTTGGTGGCCTCACTCTCCAGCAGCTGAGCCAGGCAGAACCTGCTCCCTTGATCCGGGCTCCCTGATCCACAGTGCTGCTTGTCCCTGCCAGTGAGATGAGCCCAAATAAACCCTGTGAACGAGTTCTATCCCCCCAGGATAGAGGTTTGCCAGAAGAAGAGCTTGCAGCAGCTCTCCAGCCTCCCAGGGTGACAACAAAGTCCTCCTTGGCCAGACCTGCATCCCCCTGGATCAGTCCCAGCCAGAGCCCACCCCTGGTTTTCCGTACGTTTGGAGCTGGTGGCTGGAAGGGCTGCTGGCATTCTCCAGGCTGGGCTGGGGGACCCTGGGGACACACACAGCCGGCAGAAGGACCCTCACAGCCCCACTGGGCGTAGTCTGCAGCTCAGAGGAGGTGCTGATGAAGATGGAGATGCTTTCCAGGGGAGGAATCATGCCCAGGTTAGCCACAAAAACAATCCTCTCCAGGTCCTCATCCATCAGGATCCTTCCTGCACAGAGACAGGACCACACCAGGAAGACATGGTGGCACAACAGTGGAACACATTCCCCCCATCTCTGGATCAAACACCCGAAGCAGCCCCCACTGCACACATCAGCACTGTCTAAAGAGCCCCAGCCTTCTGCATCACTCCTTTGGCTGCCCAGAAGCAGCAGTGCTTTCCAAAACAGATAAGACTGACATTTCTGGCAGGGACACAAGCACCACAACAACTCAGCCTTTCACAAGGAGCCCCCTCGATGCCACGGCATATGCCAGCCAGCCGCCCCCTGCCACCACCTCCCCGTTCCTCTTGCCATCCTTTTCTCCCCCACATTCCCTAAAACACCCTCCACCTCCTCACCTCTTCCACTGGGGAGGCTGCAGCTGTCCAAGCAGGTGTCATCTATCTTTGCTTTGTCTTTGATCTGCACCGTCACCACGCGCCGGGACACGGCCGCCTCGAAGCCCACGACGGCCGTGCCCTCATCCAAGGGGAACACAAAGAGACCTGCCAGCCAGGAGGGGCTTTAGCAACACCAGCTGCTTCCCTGGACCCACCAGCCAGCACCCTCTTGGCACTTCCCAGGGATTTTTCACACCTAAAAAATCAGTCTCGGGCATAATACACTTGGTTGCTCTTCCTACGAGCCTCTGAAGGTTTAAGGCATGCACAGAGACCCACCACTGCTACATGCCTGGCTCTAAAGTTCCCTTCCCAAGCTTTACTCCTTGAAACTTGCCTTCCAAAGCCTGGGGGTCTGGGTTGTGGTAGGTGAGCAGGGCTGTCATCCCGAAGGCGTAGCCGCTGACACAAGATGTCACCTCCGACGTGGTGAGGGGCAGCGGGGAGAGGGTCGCCCAGTTAACCAGCCCTGGCATCTTCCCGGGGGTCTGTCGGCGATGGTGGGGAGCTGGAGAGAGGTGGAAAGGTGAGAGTGAATGAGAAGCACCAAGTGCCCAAAATGTTTGTGTGCCACTGTCACCTCATGTTGTTTTTTTAGCAGTTCTGAGGACAGAAAGGTGAGTGACACTGGAAAGGACGAGACCTGGGCTTGGTGGCTCCACTAAGGGGATGGGGACAGAGCAAGACTTGGTGGGAACACACATGGTAAACCCATTTCTCATATCTCTGCTGGCACAAGGGATCAAACCTGCCTGGCTGGAGACAAGTGGCTCCAGAGATCTACACTCGTGTATCTCCCCAGCTCTCACACTGCTGGAGCCTGGGCAGAACAGATTAACACCCTTTTTTTATCCCTCTTGCTCCTCATTATCCATCCAAAATGACAACTTTCTCCAGGATAAGGCTAAGATCCTGAGAGTTTTCCTTTATCCTGTGGGAAGGAAGAGCAGGCAGGCAGTCAGGCATCCTCATCCTCGCTGCATTTCGGGGAGGTGCTGCCCCGCATCCACAGATCCTTCCTGCACAGGCTGACTCATCCCACGCTGTGCTCAGCCGAGACATTCAGATGCAAAGTGGCTCCTTCTGCCAATTACATTCCAACTCTTTTCCCCGAGCAGGTTTTCCTCTGTTCCAGCTCCTCTCCCCCAAGCCCGAGTGTTTTAAAGGAGACCTTTCAGGTGGCTTTCAGGGCCACATCCCGCTCCCCCGGGGCATCGGGAGAAGTTGCTAGGCAGCAGTTCTCCCCGGCTGGCTCTGCAGTGCTTTGTGCAGTGATTTACAAGGCCCAGGAGGAGCCAGAAGCACTGAAATACATCAGTTTCTCATTTCCTACCAGTCCTGCGTTATTAAAAACCACCTTTATATGCAAATGCCACGGAAGACGTGAGCAGCAGACATCAAGGCCACGAGCCCCACGAGCACTTGGGCAGGAAAACGGCGTTAAGAGAGGAAAAAGGGAGAGAGGTAGGGAGAGCAAGAAGGGCTGGCTGGGATGGGGGAGAGCAGCCAGGGAAACCGAGCAAAGGAAACAGCAGCAAGGATGGTGATGGAGGGCAGTAATCCCGAGGCACGCCTCTGAATCCCAGCCAACAACCTCTGCCATTCCCGATTTAATCCTCCCCTCCTGCTGCCTCGAGTGCTGCTCACGCCAGGGGCTGCCCAGGGAGGTCAGGGGATGCATCCCTGGGGTGCATGAGGAGATGCAGGAGCACGTCCAGCTCGGCTGTTCCAACACAGGAGCCCTGCCTGAGCCAGGGGAGCCCATTCCACACCGGGGTGCTCCAAGCCGTGCCAACAGGGATGTTGGAAAGTCAGGAGCTGTCAAGGCTCCACCTGCTACAGGGTCCCCTCTCTGCAGGACGTGGCAGAGGCCATCAGGACATCGGGAGGTGATTAAATGCCAGGTGGGGCACTTAAAGAGGGGGGGATTACTTTGCCTTAGGGAAGAAAGAAAGGAGGAAATAACAAGGTGAAGATGTTCTCTGTCAGCTTGGCACAACAAGAATTCATTATGGGCTGCCTGAGGCGTGAATTTGGGCTCCAGGAGCTGTGATTTTAGCTCAGAAGCTCCCTTGGCTGCAGAGACTTAGGGCAGAGCTATGGTTGAGATCCAAGCCCCTCACCTGTGGGAGACTGGGGACATGGCTCCCATGGGAACCACTCTGCCATCAGGGATTTCTGCACCACCTGGGCCAGGACAAGCACTAAGAGACCTTTGGTGGGATGCAGAGCCCTGTGCCATGTCCTGTATAAAGACAGCCAGGAGAGTTGCACCTTTCCCAGAGATCTCAGGGGTCCAGAGGAGCCTGCAATTAGCCCTGCCTGCTGTGCCAGCCAAAAAACCCAGCCCTACAAGGACAGGGAGGGCTTGGGGGGCTCTTCCCAGCAAAACCCCTGTGGATGGGGATGCAGCCAGCACAGCCATGGGGCTGCTCTGCACACATCGTGTCACCAACGCCATCAAGTGACTGCAGCATGGAAAAGGAGAGTGGGGAGGCTGGAGTGGGGGAGAGCAGTGGGAGAGCTGGCACCTCTCTCCTGTTTCCCCCAGGAGCCCATCACCAGCCCCCCAGCTGCTCCCCATCCTGCCTTTGCCACTCCAGGACCTGCACTCGGTCTCCATCCAGGTCCCAGGGCTGCACCTTCAGTACTCAGCTGGCAGGACGCTGCATCCCAAAAATTACCACCAGCATCACGGCAGC